TGATCAAATTTTAAAACATAATATCATTATCTAATTTATATTTTTATTATTATATGCATAAATATAACTTATAATACTCTATGTTTAAAATATAATATCATTGTATAACTTATAATTTTAATACTATATGCATTAATATGATTAATAATATTATATTTACAGTGTGTAAATGCACAAGGTCGAATACTAGTTCCATAAAAGGTTCATTAACAAACCCTAAAAAGAAATCAAATTTAATTAGTATGTCATGGCGGCTTTAGATTGGAAACCGCGGGAAATTACAGTTTAAATATATTTAAAATAGGCGGTCTTTTTACTTAGTTTACCCGCCATTAAATTCCCCCAATATAAAAGAGCACGAAATCAGGCACACACAAATTCCCCAAAATACCCCTACACGCTCTCACTCTATTGCCGCAAACTGAAATCCATTTTCTTTTCCCTCCGTGGCTATGGAGAACCAGGGCGATAACTCCGGCCGGCACCACGGCGAGAAGCCGTCTCCGACGCGGCGGAGCTTGAAGAGAAAGCTCGACGAGGATGTGGACGGTGATCGGTCGCATCAGGATTCTCTTCGAGGTCCTGCTTGCGAAGTTCGTGCTCAAGTCGAGATCCTTGATTCTGCTCTCTCGCTGTCACCGGAAGATCGGATGGCAGTGAAAAAGGCTATCGACGTTCTGTCCGGCCTCGCCAGTAACGGTAAATGAGAAAACCGATGCATCGAAGGATTTTTTTTTTTCAACTTTATGTAATTTGTTGTGAATTTGTTGTTTTTTGCTCGGGCGCGGTTTCCTTTTGTGTGTGTGTGTGTTGGGTATCCTCATGGGATAACGTCAATGGACAACACACTATTTTCTTCTGATTTCATTCAAACAATTTACCTTTTTATGTTTTTTTTTTCTCTCTCTGTAAATATATGTATTGAATTTGTGACTGCAGAAGAGATGGTGGATATGATTGTGGATTGTGGGGCAGTTCCAGCTCTGGTCAGACATCTGCAGAGTCCACGGCCGGCCGGGGAGAAAGATGCTGGCCTTGTGGCATACGAGCATGAAGTGGAGAAAGCAAGCGCGCTCACACTTGGGCTTATTGCCATTAAAGTAATTGCAGTACCTGAGAGATATTTTCTTTATGTTATCTTGATTGTTCTTCATAGCTGATTAAGAAAAGGTGATGTGAATTTGTTAAATATAATACAACCCTGTTATAAGTAATTACTGTATGTGACTGAACTGAAACTGAGCCAGGTACGTGCTCTTTGAACATACTAATGTTTGAATGTTCACTGAGGTCCCTTTCTTTATCCAACAGCTACCTGGTCTTGTTTCCAATTTGCTCTAGATATTCATATCCTGTTTATTTTGTAGTCTTATATAAAGATACATCAGCCAGTATGTGGCATTCTAACAAAGTTGTCTCTTGTTCTGAATATTCATAAACCTTGTGTAAATTCACCACTGAAATGATAATTTTATGTGAGATGAAACCTTCTCTTCCATCCATCCACTGCAGTTTGGCTGTAATAGACGAACATAAAACTTTAGTCATTTCTATTTTATATTAAACGGATGGATTTTGTTTTTTCTTTGTGTGCCGATACAGCTTAATTTTTCTCTCGCATTATTATGCCTTGCTACTTAAGTAAGAACCCGGGTTAGAAATATCTTGTCTTGGTAACTTGTTGTAGGTTCAATATCTTTCTTGTCTTGTGTCGGTGACATTTAGTTTGTTTCACAGCCCGAGCATCAGCAGCACATTGTTGATGCGGGTGCTCTGCCCGTTCTTGTGGATCTTTTAAAGAGATATAGATGCCATTCAGAATCTCGGGCAATATGTGGAGTTATTAAGGAAGCAGCTGATGCCATCACTAACCTTGCTCAGGAGAATGGCAACATTAAAAACTTTGTTAGGTTAGTTTTTTTTTTTTTTGTATTCTTTTGTGATTGATCATTGTATTCATATTCTCTGGTTTTATTTTAGCATTAAAATTTATGTGCACAGGGTTGAGGGTGGTATCCCACTTATGGTTGAATTACTTGAATTTGCTGATTCAGAGGTGCAAAACGCTGCAGCTGGAGCCCTTCGCACCCTTGCTTTTAAAAATAATGAGAACAAAAATCAGGTTTTTATCTTCTTTCTCCAACGCCCCTCGCTCGCGTCAAATAGTACTTATGATGTATATGCTTAGTTTCACATTACATTTATTTTATGTTGAAACTTATTCAGATTGTGGAATGCAATGCTCTGCCGACTCTTATACTAATGATGCACTCTGAGGACACTGCTATACATTATGAAGTGGTAGATATTTTTTATGTTTTATCAGTTTATATGTTTTCACATCTACTCACAGGATTTCTACATGATCCTTTCATTATTTTTTTTTATATTCTTATGTTACTTATGTTTGCGATGAAGGTTGGGGTCATTGGGAATTTGGTCCACTCATCTCCTAACATCAAAAGAGAAGTTCTTGCTGCTGGAGCTTTGCAACCTGTCATTGCACTACTCAGGTATGATTGGTATAAGTACGTGTGTTGTTACTTTCTCTTAACTAATACATCTTATAACTGTTAACCCACGTATGTCCTTATTTATACTTTGGTTGCACCCCCAATTTTCCAGAAATATAAGAAAGTCTTTTTTTTTTTTTTTTGAATATTTCTGTGTTGTCAAGTGCAACTTCTGCCACCTGTTTCTGTTGCCTTCTTTGATGTGTTAACTGATGTCTATGATAACAGCTCCTCCTGTTCTGAGATCCAAAGAGAAGCTGCTTTGTTAATTGGACAATTTGCTGCAACAGATTCAGACTGTAAGGTTGGCCTTATTTAACATTTTAAAACCATGTCCTAGCAATTAAACTAATTAACCATCTCATCTTAGCCTGTGCTGATTAATCCCGAAATGATGCTTCTGCAGGTGCACATAGTTCAAAGAGGTGCTTTGCCACCACTAGTGGAAATGCTCCAATCACCTGATACTCAATTGAAGGAAATGTCAGTCTTTGCCCTGGGGAGGTTAGCACAGGTAAAATGCGCCATTCTTTTTATTTTGGTTATCTATTCTCATGACATAGGTCCTATTCTTCCTAGATCCTATGGATTTATCTATGTTAATGGGCTGTCAGTGCAAATTTATAATTTGCTAAAATTATTTTCCATGCCCTCAGGATACCCACAATCAAGTTGGTATGGTGCACAGTGGTGCTATAGTGCCCTTACTGGAGCTTCTTGAGTCCAAAATTGCATTTCTCCAACACAATGCTGCATTTGTTCTTTTCGGGCTTGCGGACAATGAAGTACTGGAAGACTATTTCTTTTCTTCTTCTAAATTACTATTTTTGTTTTTTATTTATTAATTGGTCAATGTTTTATTTGCTGAGCTTCATTCTGATATTTCTCTTCTATTTTTTTGTTTCTTTTGCTTTGCCATAGGACAATGTTGCAGATCTAGTTCGATTGGGAGTTGTTCAGAAACTTCAAGATAGTGAATTTATTGTCCAAGTACGCTCCCCTACTTTTCAGTTGGATAATTATCATTATTTGATTGATCAAATGATGTTCTATCTCATAGTTATTGTGTAATTTATCTTCCAATATCCTTTTGCTACAGCCTACTAGAGATTGCGCAGCACAAACGTTGCAAAGACTCGAAGAGAAGATTCATGGAAGGGTGAGTTACCCTGGTTTTGTTTTGTTTTTTTTTTTTTTGCAAAATTTGGGCTTAATGGATCCGAGTTTGAATGCATTAATAGAACGCCATTAGCTAATGCAGGAAAAGCAAAATACAAATTACAAAATTGGTTTTCAATATGAAAGGAATATTTTATTTTGTGGATTGTGAAGTTTTTAATGCTTTGCTCCATTGTTTGTGGCAGAGGTCTTGAACCTAACTTTATTTTATTTATTTATTCTTTTGGCGAGGCCAGGTATTGCACCATTTACTGTACATAATGCGTGTTGGAGATAAAATTGTTAAGAGCCATGTGGCTTTGGCTCTAGCGCACCTTTGTTCATCAGATGACCAGAGGTCCATCTTCATTGATAAAAATGGTATGCTGTTTCCCTTAATGTCCTGTATATATTCTTTCTGTAGTGAATCATGACCACACTCACCTGATCAACCAATGACATGATTGTGGTAGGTCTAGATTTGCTTCTGGAACTCCTTGTGTCAACCAACTTAAAACAGAAAAGAGATAGTTCTATGGCTTTATGCAGATTAGCTAATAAAGCCAAGTCACTCCGTCCAATGGATACGGCTCCCCCTTCCCCAATTCCTCAGGTGATAATCTGTTGTTCTAAATATGGATTGAAATTGTCTAGTCGTACTGTGATATCGTGTGGTTGATTACTTGACATTTTAAGTAGAAATGCAGTGGTGAATTTCATCGAATTAAACACCCTGGAAAAATCTTCTTTCGACCTGCCTATACAAGACAGCCAGCATAAAACTCTTGTCAGCTCCTCACGCATTAGAATTTGCTTATGTTGCTCTTAAGAAATTGTGGTCCTTGGTTTAAAATGTGTAATTCATGAAGACATGTGCTTTAGAGTCAGGCGGAGTCATTTTATCGGCGGTGCATAATTGAACACGTTTCTGCAAGAAAATATGATCTTTATTCTTACAGATCACATTTTTCCTATAGGAAGGTTTCCCTCCATGCAGTTAAAATTTAATATTCTTCGTTATTGTTACATGTGCTTCTCTGTTTGGTAAACTGAAATTGTGTGAAAGAAGCCAATATATCTTTCTACTTGTTCTGAGTAAAACAACCATTAATGTCATCTTAGCAATCTTTCCATAAGCTTGCCATTGACTTATGTCCCGTCTAACAGTCTTTTTTTTTTTTTTTTGCTTTAAAGTTTAAAACCTATATTCGTGAATCTGTTATAGTTGTGTACTTATTAAGACTGAAAGCTTCTTCTCAATAATGCAATCTATTGATGCGTTCGTTTAGAGCTGTGACTTCATTTAATCACTAATGTGAACTTCTATTTATCGAGTCTATGCCAATTAACTCTTTTTGTTCTTCTACAGGTTTATCTGGGGGAGCAGTTTGTGAATAATCCTACATTGTCCGACGTGACATTTTTGGTTGAAGGTCAGAAATCTACCCCAACTTCTATAGATTGTTGCTGATGTTATCTTATTTCTATTGTAACGATCTTTATTCTCATCACCAGGAAAACGGTTCTATGCACACAGAATTTGTCTGCTAGCTTCTTGTGATGCATTCAGGGCAATGTTTGATGGTGGTTACCGGGTGAGCAATATGCTTTCTATTTCAATCCGGTTACCCTTTGTCTTCAGCCTGCCACATAAGAGCATATACTATCACATAACACAAAATATATTGCAATTATGGAGCCTTTCTTATGATTACATTTGTAAATCAAACTGATACTTGACTTTTGATTGTGCAGTATCTTTTTTCTTTTTTTCTTTAAAAACTGGTAGCAAACACTTCTATTTAGTTTCTTGTTTTAACTAACTAAAAACTGAATTTGCTTAAATGGGCTGCAGGAAAGAGATGCTAAGGACATTGAAATTCCTTATATTAGATGGGATATTTTTAAGTTGATGATGAGGTGAGATACACATTGAACTCTTACCTTCCTTTGCAAATTTTGCCATTTATTTATCATTCCAATGCAAAATTTAGATCCATCTTGTTTGTTTGGTTGTAGATACATTTACACAGGATCTGTTGATGTTAGCTTAGATATCGCTCAGGAGCTTCTAATGGCTGCTGATCAGTATCTGTTAGAAGGTCTAAAGCATCTATGCGAATATGCCATCGCACAGGTAAATATAAATAAATATCTGGTGACGAAAGCTATATTTAACTTGTGGACATATTCTATTTTTCTGTTTTTAATATTCATTCCTTTTTTATTTTTTTCTTTGTTCAGAATATATCCGTGGAAAATGTGTCTCTAATGTTTGAATTGTCGGAGGCATATAATGCTCTCTCCTTGAGGCATGCTTGCATCTTATTTATCCTGGAAAAGTTCGACAATTTATGCAACATGCCCTGGTATGTTTTTTCGACTACTTTTGGTTGTTGTTTGTCCCTATACTCTTTAATCAAACCTGTGTTTACGATTGCATAATTAAACTACGGTTAAATCACAAAAGTGCTCGGGTTTTACCAGATTTTTACAGAAGAAGAAAATGGAACAGAGACTTTTGAAAATTACATCAGACCTCAGTGACAGTCTTTTGGTTATATGCAGGTATCCTTTGCTTATCCAACGAGTCTTGCCCGAAATTCGAAACTATTTTGTTAGACTGCTGATGAGGCCAATTAGTGCCAAATAAATGTACCTAAATGAGGGAGGTTTTGAACAAGTTTTTATGAGTTTTTATGCTATCTCTGTGTAAAGTAGTGATGGCATGCCAGTGAATGTAAAGGAAATTGATTCAGTTTTTGTCATTCAGTAGGTAGGTTTTTTAGTTGGACATGAACGAGCCTGTTTGTGGTCATTATTCTTTGCTTGAAAAAGCTGGATTTGAAATTGATTTTTTTCAATTACACAACAATGTAAATAGATAAATTAATGGATAAATAAATGAACATGATTTATATAGTATGGTGCTAACATGCTATAAAATGGAATGTGTACTGAATTTTTTCCATGTTGTTTTTGTATGCATCCTTGATGTGGATTATATATAATGAGTAATGCTATAGGTACATAATATAGTACATAGGGGTGTATATAATACTCGCATTTGGTGGGACCTACCAAAATTAAAAAATCAAGTGGACCCCACTCCATGTGAGTGTTATGTACATCTCTATGTACATTTATTATGTACTTCTAGCATTTTTCATATATAATTATATTATTAAGGGTGTGACTGGATATAAAAGATCCAATTACAAACCAATCATTTTTCACTACTCACTTTTTTTTTTTTTTTTTGTTAAAGACATAATGTAAATTAAATATAATTTAACTATACTATCCTCAATATTGTAAATATGATTAAATAATATTAATTATTTTCACATATCACATCATTTTTTGCTATTCATCTATTTACATAATTTTAACTATTCATCATTCTCGTTATTTATCTCTTACTTTTCCATCAAACTAATTTTAATATTTAATTTTAAATCCTATTTTAATACAAACGCAAAACCCCACTCAACCAACTTTTTCAAAATTAGTATGGTTAAATAAAAAAAAAACCAATCAAAAACCCAAAAATATCCAATCACACCTCAAATCCACAAGCTTCAATGTATATAGAGGCAATAAAGTAATAAGTAGGTAGTTTACTGAATACTTATGACTGTTTTTTAAGTTTTAGTTTAGAGACATAGCAATACAGTTGAATGATCACAATACTTGAAAACAATATCAAGCTTTAAAATTTATTGCTACTTTGCCAATACAAGATCATCCAAGCCCTACCTTATGAAAACAAACACCACTCAACAACTCAATAACTTAAAAAAAGATAAAAAGATAAAA